ACATGGTTATGAATATCTTATTAGAATTTCTAAAGGAAGGGAGGTCCAAAGTGTGAACTTGTAAATCTGTTCGCTCCTTAAATAATAAAAAAAAAAAAAAAAAATTTGCCATGCCAAGGATGCTAATAAAGCCTGTCAGTAGTTTTTTCAAGCTATTCTAATCATAACTCATTGTTGTCATTCTCATACAACATGCCAGAGGGAGGATATTTTAATTAAAACCGTGAGAGGATATCTTTCATTTTCTTCCATGCTATTCTCTTATAGTTATAATTACAAGTTAATATATATATATATATAATATAAGAATATCTACTTTCGAAACATTTTAAAATATTAATAATACTATTTTAAGTATATATTTTCTATGTGAAAATTATGAAATATGAATTCATTTCAACTTATTTATATTTCAAGAAGTACTCGCTTGCTTTTAGTTGCTTCTACTAATGGTGTTATCCTTGGAGAAATCTTACTTAAGTTAGTTTCAATCAAGAACAATTAAATAATATTAGGTTAGTTAAGATCCTTAAGGGAGAATCGCCGACACTTGACATTCACCCGGTTGCAAGATAATGCAATTTAATGAATGGGTGTACTAAATGCTGAAGAAATTGTTAAAAATTAATCATTTTTTTTTCCTGTACTTGTAAGAAAATTGCGTTTCGAATTAAGTTTTCTCAATTGTAAACTTTTACCATTCTTATTCTTAATTGAATTTCAATTTATTCTGTAACTTTTTTCATCATTCATATATTCTTGTTAAAATTAAATAATTAGTATAATTGTTCATTAATTTACTCCTATATTTATTAATAATTTCAATTAAAAATTATTAATAAACAGTTTTTACCGAATGATTGTATACAAGCGAGTATACACAATGTAGTATTTTATTATATTGTAGTAGTATTACACTTAACTATATATTAAAACTGGCACTTACAACGCTAAAATTTTTCCTTTTTACTCTTTTTTATTGCATTTTTTTTCTTTAAATATTAAAATTTTAAGGTTTATTTTATTACATTTTTACTATTTTCATGTTTTTCCTTTTAGTTTTGTATTGCCTGAAGAGGGTGTAGAAAAGATTTAAAAAAAACATCCTAAATGCATAGTGATAATAAATACTAACGTTTAAATACCTTATTATTGGCTTTGTCTTAGATTAAATGTAAAAAAAACAACGGTTACTTAACTTTTTTAACCTTAAAGTTTTAATATTTTTTTAAAAAATTTTAAAAATAAACTGCACCATTGATATATTTATTTATATATTTAAGTATACAAGACATTTTATTGCATATTTTTACTCTATAATTAAATACAATACGATTTTCTACAATCATAATAAACTTTAATTGTATATACACTGTATGAGTTAATACTTATAGCTGAATCTGTATAGAACTTATTGTGATATAGCTATAGATAATGTATTTAAAATGTCTTGAAAATATTATAAATATGCAAATAAAATTTTAAACTAATTTTAACGAGGAAGAAGGAAGGAAAAAAAGAAATTAGAAAAGAAAAATACAGTAACAGTAAATAATAAAAGTTTATTTGAAGTGTATACAGTAAAAAAACCTGTCCAAAATTGAACCTGTTTAAAACGGAAACATGTCAAACCTGTCCGGTTTACACAGGTTTTACTGTATTTTCTATTCTATGAAAAAACCATTTTGTGAAGGTAATTAGAAATTTAAATATATATATATATATAGGTATATATATAATTATGTATATATATATTTATATATATACACTTATAGCAATAACAACCATTCACAAGCCACGATTTACATTATTACTGATATTATGAACATGCATATTCCAGAATTTTATGAATCAAATATTGATTCTCTTTCTTAGAACCTGTTCTTGTCTTGTTTTATTTCAATGGAGAGAATCTAGGATTGATGGGACCTTGTGTAAAGGAACGCAATTCGTACGGCCTCTGGCTATGTACAGTAGCAGCATCCAGATCACTTTTCCGAAAGATAATCATCCTTATATCCGTATGAAGGTAGATTCGTCCCGATCTCGAACTGGAAAACCTAACGATAAAATAAATAGTTAATATAAAATACAGATAAATGTTCTACTAAACGTACTCAGCTTGTGCGTTCTCATTTTAACGCAGTTTATTATGAACAATTATTATACTATATGTCATTTTTCGATATAACGCGTTTTCGGAAAATTCTCTAATAGCGTTGCATGGAAAATACTTTAATTCACTTTAATACTGTATTTTTACACCCTTTATTAAATTAATTGCTTTAGATTAACTGAAATCACGAAACTTTTTCGCGAGGCTTCATTCTTCAAAACAACATTCTTCTTCTGCCATTCAAAATGAAACATTCAAAGAGATGATCTTGATATAATTGATTGCCTCATTAAAGGAACAGATACTGAAAATCACAAACTCGGTGATTTGAGATAATAGTCTGTAATCTTTTTGTTAGGACAATAAGCCTAATAAGACAAAGTGATCACAGGTGTATCAGCATATAGATGAAGCATATACTCACATATAGATAATTTATATATCTACTAATCAGCACATTAATTATAACGTTTTCAGGTAGTATGCAAAACAAATTGTTGAAAATTTGAATATTCTAAAATCCATAGACAAATTTGAGATAACATGCATGATTACTTGAATAAAAGAAATATTGAACAACAGTGTTTGCAATTAAAAGTTGCAAAATTTTGTAAGGATGATTTCCCAAATGCTCAAACTGTGTTGTAGAGGTGCAGTAGAGGGATACCTGTAATTGCTTTTATAAATTAACTCTCCTATATTTTGAATAATTTTAATTATATATATATTTATATATATAATTAAAATTATTCAAAATATAGGAGAGTTAATTTATAAAAGCAATTACAGGTATCCCTCTACTGCAACTTTACAATGCAGTTTGAGCATTATAGCATTATATATATATATATAGCTTTATATATATTGCTTGTTTGGATATGGCAAGAAAGATCACGAGCTGAACTCAATGATATAGTATTTTGTTTTTAGATGAAAAAAGTTTAACCTTGATGGGCTTGATTGTCAAAAGTATTGACATGTCTTAAGAACCAAAAGGTGGTTTGGAAATGACTCAACAAATTATTGATAGTGACTCCTTGATGATTTGGACTACATTTTCAGCCAAGGAAAGACAGATATAATCTTCATTTCTGAATGTTTGACATCTAAATCCTATTACACTTTAAGATCAACTAAGTATGGTCACATTCATGGAGGTGAAAATTTCATCTTTCAGCAGGATAACACATCCTGCTATAATTCAAAAATAATGAAACAATGGTTTTCTAAAAAGCAATATTTAAGTTTTGCCATGGCTCTCCAGATCTATGTCCAATAGAAAACCTAAGGGAGATTCTTAGGTCCATTTACAAAGATAAGAGAAAATTTTCAACAGTTGCAGACCTGAAACAAGCCACATTCAAAAGCGTAGGAATGAAATTTCAGATGAGCTATTGATTAAATTAATTAATTTCAATGCTGGATAGCAAGTACAATGTTTTTTGTCTCCAAAGAGATTACACAAAATATTCCTTAAATTTTGACATTAATTCATTTTTGAACTTTAATTTTCATCTGTGTAAAATTGAGTTTTTAAAAATATTTTGTAAGTATAAAACTATTTAACATATTAAAAAAAATAGATATAATTAATTAATTTTGCATGTTACCATCACATTTAAACAATTTACTCATTTACAGTCTAAAAATATTACTTGAACTTATACTTTTGTCTAACACTGTAATGAAAACTAAAATTCAAAAGTTTTTAACATAATTTCAAAACCATCATAAAACAGTAAGATTTACCTGAGATGAATGAGATAACGTAGCCATTTACTAGCATCGGGATCTTTATCTGAGGCATCGGCAGGCATATAAAGTGTACGTTGGCGAATGAAAGTCTGGCAGTTGACTGGCATATCACATAAATCATATCTCACTACAAACATCTTTACAACAGTCTGATGTGGATTAAATAATGTCTGAAATACCATAATATAAATTTATAAATACTTTAATTTTACACTAAAATTCAGTTATTAGTTCACATGTTATCAGCATTAAAATGCTTTAATATTAGAATTATTTAGATCATGAATAGATTTTACTCAGTGTATTAATAACAACTAATTATAAATTAATAAAAATAAAAACTAACTAGATAATTATATGAATGAAGAATTTAAACAAAGAAAATGAAAATTGAAATTCCTTTTTCATGACAAGAGAAAATATTCATCCTTGCAAAAATTGTTGTAAATATATAAAAACTAAAATAAATTATTTGTATAAACAAATATAAATAAGATTAGTTTGAATTTTTACAGAACTAAGCTTTTGTTGGGCATATCATTGATTTCAATTTCATCCACTATGGGTCAGAGATGATCAATGTAGGTAGGGGTTCTTTCATACGAATTATCCATAAAAATCACAAGGTCTTGATTAGATTGAAATCTGGATTCTTGACTTCATATGGAAAAATCTTTACTATGCAGTTGTTTTGTTGACTATATTTAAGTAAAATAATTATCTATAGCACAATGTTTATTTAACATCACATTTGTAGACTGTATAACAAAAATAGACACTTCTAATATTCCAACAACTCACTCAACATTCTCTGTATATCTTATAACTTGTGATCTAAGAGAGAAAAATTGAAAACTGTTTTGTACTGTATTGATAGCAAGTTCATTAATTATAATACTTGTATAATTTTATGTAAATAATTCAATTATTTTAAGTTGTATTATTAACAATATTAGTTTTTAAAATATAAAAACAATAAAAAAATCAATTTTAACAAAAGATGTTAAAAGTGATTCAAAATGAAAGCAGAATTCAAAATAATATATTAAAAAATAATAGAAAAATTTAAAAAGCACAAATGTACCAGAAAGGTGCTATTTCAATGTATGGTTTATCTTCAATTCAATCCAATAAATTAGAAAGAATCTGTAAATACAGATTCCATAGCCAAGATCTTTGAAAAGGTTGAGCAATTTTTAAAATTAGTAATATCTTTATATTGATAAAAACTTCTAATATTCTTTTCATAAAAACCCAACAATTTCTTCTGATCAGATTAAGTAATATCATAATCAAATTTCCAATAGTTTTTGTTACATTTTTGAATGACTGATTTTTGAACAGTTGATTTTTAAAATATGGGTTTACTTTATTCCAATTCAGAAAGTTAAACTACTATAATCAGATTTTTCTAAATGCAATTTAATTTACTTACTATCAAATATATGCTCAAATAAAAAATATACACAGAAGAAACAAATCACACATTGAAATATGTTTTAAAGAACATTTAATTGACTCGAATATAATAGATTATCTATATATGGTATAGTGAATGTAGAAAAAGTTAATTTTAATCATATAACTAGAAGATTTAAATAATATATGTAAATATATAATAAACAAAAGTATTATAAATCAGAACAGATTAAATATAGATAAATTACAGTGAAAACTATAACAGCTAAACATGGAAAATATTTGGTAACAGTGCATTAAAAATTGATGAGAAATGAAAAAACTCGGTGATTAACAAATATTAAATTGATAAAACGTCTAAAATAATTTTTTTTTATCTAAAAGCAAAACTGCTTCTCATTTGTTAAAAATGATAAAAATCAGGAAAGAACATTTTTTATGAATTACATGTTTCACTTTCATAGGAAATTTAGCAAACTTAGGATTATTGTCTACTGGATGAGTTTACTGATATGTAGAGCAAGAATTAAAATTAATTTTTTGTAATAATTTAAAAATTTTTATTTCTTCTAAATACGAATTTTAAAAAGATCTTCATAATCATCCTTTTAACACAATGCTGTCACATGACAGTGAACGTTTATTTTGAGGCTCTTCTCTGCTTCATTATGCAAAAATTCTCTCAAATGTCCTCTAGTAGCGGTATAATTTAAAATTACAATTACAGTGAAATTCTGTTAAGCCAGTATCTGGTATGCTGGCAAACCCAATAAGCCAGCATGTCAAGCTTGTCATTGGGTGATATCGATGCACTAGGTAAGTCTAGAGTTAAGTTTTCATGTAAAAAAAAAGTGCTCAACATCTGCACTTTTTGGAAAGATATGGGTTCTCCTTTTAGAGATGACAAATGCCAAGATAACATGATGCTGTACTAGGTAAAACCAGTTAGATAAAGCATGATTTTTCTAAAGATCTTTCTAAAGACATCAGTGTATAGATTTGATATGAGAAGCAGAAATAGCACACTTGGAATCAATAATCATCATGGAAACAGCTATATAGTACATCACTGTTCATGTACTGTACTTTGACAATTAGATTAGTCTGTATTAATACACAATAAAAATGTACAAAGCACAAAGAATAGTGTGTTTTTGTTTCAAGCTAACAAGGATAAGAATAGCATGGAAAAATTGAAATGGATCGTTAAACAATCATAAAAGATAGATTTGTGCAGTTTTACATGCAAAGATATGTAAAATTGTGTCAGGAAATAACAAAAAATATTAAACATTTCCACCATCCAATAAAATGGCATATTTGGTAATCCAACACTGCATTAGTCCTGATGATGCCAGGTTAACAGAATGTCACTGTATCAAAATTAAGGCCTTTGCATTTGTTCTACATGAGAATTTTAAATAATTTTATCAACCAATTTTATTTTTAAAAGTTCCTTTAGTTTCTAGAAAAAATAAATAATTTACATTACTTTTTCTTCTGTTTTCAACACTGAAGAATTTAACTAAACAGGAAAAACCCTTTTTCATTTATTCTCACATTAATTACTGTTAATTTGTATTTATTTATTAATTTTGTAATTCCATGATACTCCATGTCGGGGTAAAATCGTCTGATATACAATTTCCCGCACTTTTCCATATTTTCAAACAAACGACGGTTGTCACCATGGGAACGCTGATCAGACAACTTTTGGAAACTCGACCGCAGATTGGCTGGAAGACATTGTACCACCAGCGGACGTCTTGTAGCACTACTAAGTGCTGATTGGTGGAATTCCATTTCTCTCAATCCGTATAAAAGGATTGAGTTTAGGCAGGAAGTTTAGTTTGCCTAGGACACATCAAGGAAACTCACGTTCGTCTAGCTTTGCCTAAGCTGGCCTAGAAGATTGTTTCATCTCGCTGTGTGGTAACTAACGTTGGAAGGAGTTTGTTGCAAGGTGTTCTTTTTGATGGACCTGTTGTCGTGGATTAAAATAAACGTATATTTTCATTGTGAATTTGACACTCAGCATTTGATGTTGAAACATAATAAAAAAATTAAAGTTAGAATATTGTTAACCAGTAAATCTTGCTTTTTCTCCAATTTTGTTTTGATGTAAACAATCTTCCATTTCACAGATTAATCTAATTAGATGTTAGATTAACCTAAAAATCCTTGATACAACAGTACTTCTACTTGTATAATCATAACTTTCAAAAAACAACATTTCTATAATAAATTTTGAAAAATTTTTAAAATTAATCTTAAAATTTTCAATGTTAAACTATTTTAATATCTTTTTACATGACAATGTGTCTGTGACAATGTCTCTACTCTGTTGAAAAGCCATGAATTAAAAATAAAGTACAAGAATAATGCAATAAATCAAAGTAACGACAATGGTTAACCAACAAAAAAGTTACAATACATTCAATGGTATCTGAATATACAATATAATTAATATTCCTATTTTTTGTAGTTGAAAAGCATATCTAAAATGAGTATACATTATTACAAAGCAAACTAGGCACCAATACTGTCTGCATGTATCATAACAATGTTTACAGTGACACTTAAAGAGAGAAACTAAAATGTAGATGATCTACATCAGAGACAGATGTGGTACCACAAGAAAAATAAATTTACTGAATGTGTTTAGACAATAAAAAAGAATTTTGAAGCAGGATGTACTTCTCGTGTTGATGAATGGAACTCAGATCAGATGAGGAGAGAGAGTAAGCCATGAAACATTTAGGGATGATTTTGATTGAAACTTACACTGTACACACTTATAAGAGTCTGGGAGTCAGACAAAAATCTGGTCAAAGTTGGGGAGTCATTAAATGGAAGGATGGCTGCTTATTCAAAAGTAGGTAAATCTTTGATAATTCTTTGTTAAGACTAGACAAAAGTGTGAGATGCAGCAGACCAAACTGGATGGGCATAGTTTATTATGGATTGGATATTGGTAAAAAAATAATGGCACAAAGTATTGCACTGGGAAAAACAGTTTTGAGATTGCACCAAATCATACCTCTTCAAATAGATAACTGTTTTAATTTTTAGGTACACTACATAAAAGTTAAATTTAAATCATGGATTAAATGTGATATCTAGGCCAACTCTGTCGGGTACAAATGCTAAATTTTCTTGATCAAAGTAGATTTTAATATTAGTGGGCAGGTGAATTTTATATTCATCTGTCCACTAATATTAAATAATACTAATATTAGTTTTTGTCATATTGATAAAAAGATTGAATTTATGTAATGCTATGATAAGCTAATTAAAGTCAATTTGTAACTATATATTAATTTATAACGTTCCTTTCTTATTTAAGAAGAAAAAGAAAAGGAGACCTTAGTATAGAACTCTGAGGAATACCTAATACTGGAGAGGGAACTCTTAAAAAAGGAAATCAGATACTTATATTTTACACTTTTGAAGCAGGAAATAGTTATTTAGCCAGGATAGGATGAAGTTATTAATGCTGAATTCATTAGAGTAAAATTAAAGGGACGGGTGTCATTCCTTCAATTTTACTCATTCTCTTCAATATAAACCATGAACTATTTTCACTTAAAACAATCTAAGATTCCTCAAACATTTCACAGAAAATAAAATTGTTAAAACAATTATTAAAAACCACAACTAGCTTACAATTTCTAGAATTTACTAGCTTAGAATTTGTGAGACTTTTTAGATTTAAATAATTTATTTTTTTCAATTTCTAAATAATTTATATTTTAATTGTTATTATAGATGGAATGAATTGGTGGAATGAATTATGCATTTACAAATTATGGTATATGCAGTTATATAACAAACTTAAAATGAGTAATGTAATATTTATCAATGTATTTCTTTAATGATGATAATGTAGTACATTATGATTATTGATATTGATGTTAAGTTATCAATTAGTCAGTCAGTCAGTCAAAAGCTTCAATTAATGAAATTTACTAAATATTTACTTATTCAAAATAATTTTAATGCTGTGGGTTTTAAACTTTATGTATTTATTTGTTTTACAATTACATTTATAACACAACTGTCAATCAGTAATAATTGTTTATGAAAGTTTTATCAGAAATATTGCTATCAAATATCTGAACTAAAGGTCAGATGGACTAAGTAGTAAAGAGGTATATGGACTAGGAAATCTTGCCTGTGAAAATTGAGTTAGCTTAAATTTTCAAAGGTAAGTTTAATCTGGATAAGTTGGTCATTATCCAATAAATTGTTGTCATATCTCATTGTGAGGTTCAAAAAATAAAGTTTTATTCATTACCTGTAGGATAGAAAGACTTAAACTTACTTAGAACATTACATGGTATTATCACAGATCAATATTCATTTTATATGTTTTTAAATGTAAAGGGCTTTGAGATCTACTTTTAATTTGTTTGAAAAAACTATTTCTAAAATTTATTTTCTTTACAAAATATGTTTATAATATAAAAAATTTAAGAGTAATACAATAATAAATGTTTTAAGTATAATTTAATCTTAGAAAAAAAAAATTACATACCACTTGTACTGTTCCTTTCCTTGGAACATGATATCCTTTCTTTCCTAAATTAATATGCCCCTGAAAATAAATAAGTAGTAAATAAATTCTGCAAACATTTTACACTAAATTTATATTGTCAAAAATATTTAAATTAACTTAGAACAATGTAATTCATATCTTAATAAATTAAAATATTTAACACAAATAATGCAGAAAATACTTTAAATTTCTTTTTATTTTAATGAGACATGAATTTAAAAAAGTGAATTTTAATATTTTAATATATAAAAATTTGAGCAACTTAAAAATTTACAATTAACAATCCACTATTATAATCAGATTAAAACTTATATTTTACATTTTTAAAGAATAATTGTGCAAAATAAAGACAATTTTAACTTTTTTATATCAGCCTGTTTAATTTTTAATCAACACTTATTTCAAAACATTACCAGATATATTTAATTTTTTTGATTATATATAAATTCAGAATTTCAACACAAATAATTTATTTATATTTCAAACAATGCACTTATTTTAAAATATAAGTAATTGCTTTTTGGAATTAAGCACAAAATTGCTATGGAGAACTAATCACATGGGAACACCTTTTTTGATGGAAAAAGTAGACTTTATTTCCTATTTTTTACAAAAGGAAATAGATTTCAGGCTATTTACGCCTCATCAGTCCTTAATGTATAATATGATAAAACTGAAATAACTAACTATTTAAAAAACATTTAAAAAACATAGTAAAACAAGTAAAACTGTACACCTGAAAGGGTAAAACTTGCTAAAATATGGAAAAATTGGCAAATGAAACACTAAAAACAAAAACTTAAAACATAACATTTCAATTCCCATTAGAATTTAAGTTTATAAGGATGGCTGCTTATTCAAAAGTAGGTAAATCTTTGANCTTATTTAACATGATTTATAATTAAGTATTTTTTAAAAACTTTTTATAATTTGAGAATATTTTGTTCTAAATATAATTTAATCTGATTTCTAAAGAAATCTATAAATGCTAAGTTGAATAATTTTAATAGAACAACATTAAAAAAATATATTGAAATAGAGACTAAGAACCTTTTTAAAAAATATTTATTAAATGATTATCCACAGCAGCTTATACATAAGTGGTATAATACTTATATTAATAATATATATAATGTCAAAAATAAAAAAAATAGAAAATTTCAAAAATTTTATAAAAAATATAAAAATTACATTAAAGAATTATTTTTTGTCAACTTAGTAGGTGAACAAAGAAATAGGTTAAACAAGAGTATCTGTTTAATTAACAAAGTAAATGAGAAACAATCGAAGAACCCTTTAGAAGTAGCAGGAGTCGTATATAGGCTGATGTGTACATATACAGAACATAAATATTATATTGGAGAAACAGGAAGAAAACTTGAAGTGAGACTGAAAGAGCATGAGGCGGCAATCTGACTAAACAGAACCGAATCCCCATGGCAACAACACTGCAGTATAACAAACTGTATTATTGACCGAAATAATACTAAAATATTGTACAAAGTAAAAAATCTTGTAAAAAGACATGTTACAGAACATTATTGTATCAAAGGATATGTAAATTGTATTAATTTAAATACTGGCACATATATTGATGATTGCAGGGATAGTTTGATAGAGTATAAAAGTATTGGCAATGTAAGATTGTAACATCCACTGATGAGGCTGATAAGCGAAATATATATGGATGAAAAAGGAAAAAGAAAAATAAAGTGAGAAATACTAAATAGGTTTCTAGTCTATCTCTGTTTTTAATTCTATCAAAATTGGTTTTAAAAAAGTGAATTTCACTTATTTCTTAAAGGATTTTTTTAAATAAAAATTTTTTTAGAATTTATTTTTTAAAAAAAAATTTTTTAGAATTTATTATTTTAATATGAATAATTTTTGTTAATTTGTAAATACAGTCGACCCCCCTATAATTACGATTCCTATAAAACTACAAAAAAATATACGTATTTTGGAAATGTTGAGTCGGATTAGTGTAGAATTGATTAATTTTATGGAAGAAAACCTTTCAATCAGCCGTAGTCCGTAAACTTGACACGTGTCGGGCTGTGATTGGAACGACTTGTAAGAAATCGGATTCCTAATAAATTGGAACGTATCTATATCTTATAGGGGGGTCGACTGTAGATTATTAATCCTTTAATATTTGATAGATTCTCAAATTGTTCTTCCTTAAAACATAATTGGTTATTAAAAATTTTTAATAACCATGTTTTATCTTTTTACAAACAACAAACAGTCATTAGATAATTGATAATATATCAATTTGTATTTATTAGTTATATATATATTTGTTTTCTGGACAATATTACCTTGTCATCTAACTAACACAGACTATTAGCATGTTTATTTACCATCGTATGAATAATGTAAGTGTTTAAATTGTGAACTGCCTTGCTATAGGAATTGTTTATATCATTCATACATTCTCAAACATATCCTGGAACAAAGGTTACTGCAGACTCCTGCAAAAGGAGACAATTTGCTTGCATAGTACATAAACAGTTTTTTGCAGATCTTCACAGATGAACACACTCATTTAACATTCCCCACAAGTAGACATCAGGTGATGTGAGATTGGGGGAATAGTAGTAGTATGAGAAGTCAGTACTGGGTGAAATGGCCTGGAAAGTTTTCTTCAGAATAGCTAGAGATTCTAGAGTGATATGGTTGGTCATCCTGTCCTGTTGATACCATTGTCTAATCATGTGAAGGTCCTTTGCATGACAGAACCTTCTCAAATTCTGAAGAAATGATCTGATCACAATGCCCTTGTACCATTCTTAGGTGACAGTATAAGCATTGCCTTCCTTTTCACTATTGTGAACATGTGTGGCTAGAACTATGCCCCATCAACAAATGGACACGTGCATTTGAGATGCACGAGTTTCAATACTATATATTTTGGCACACTATATTAATAATAATAAATCATAACACTAACATAATTTTTGCTAAAAAATGTAGAATACAGTAGAACGTCGTTTATCCGAAAGAATTCCAGTTGGCAAATTTAAATTTTTGCCAGTGCTGTGGCACTGTAATCTTTGGCTGTGTCTTCTGCTACTCAAATATTTTACGTTTTTGATGCTAAATTAACTTCTGAAGTATAATTTTTTATTGTTTTTATATTTTTCAATATATTTATTTTGTTTGTACAAAATAAAAAAATAATTTTTAAC